GGAAACCAAGCCTGGACCGGCCACCAAGGAGCCACAAGGACTACTCTCCCTGGGAAGGTCTCCAACCGAGCCAGAACCCAAGCAACAGCTGGACCGGGGGTGGGGGGGAAGAGGTACAGGTAAACCCACCTCGACCAGTCCAGAAGGGCGACACAGTTTGCCCTTCCTCCCAGTTCCTGGTGAACTGGGACTTCTTCCAGTTCACCAGGAACCCGAACCTGCCGAGCTGGGAAAGAACCACATCCCTGGCGAGCAGACAAGTGGACCGACTGGGAGCCCACACCAGCCAGTCGTTGAGGTAGGCCAAAACCTGAATCCCTAGCAGATGCAGACGGGTCACCACAACTCAGGTAAGACGCGTGAAAACGCGAAATGTCAGATTCAAGCCAAAAGTGAGGCAATGAAAGCAGTAAGCCTGACACTCCACAACGAAACCTAATCAGTCCCTGGTAGATCAGTCCAGCAACCAGGAGGCCTGGTCGACGACCGGGCCACGGGGACGCTAAGCCCCGGAAGCACCTCAAGGTAACCTCAAGGTAACCGTCCCTGCATCTCGGATGAATAGGAACGTGCCAATAAGCATCCTTGATGTCCAGGGACACGATTCAGGCATCCAGCTCCAACAGAAGCCGGACCTGAGACAGAGTAGTCATCTGAAAGGAGGGGCAAGGAATCCAGGGGTTCAGACGGGACAAGTCCAGAATATACCTCAGATCCGCATAGTCCCGTTTTGGCACTGGAAACAGGCGGGAAACCCACCTGAGGGACAGGGGTCGTTTCGACCACTCCCAAGCGCACCCACTCCAAGATGACTTGACGAAGCACAGGAGAAGAAGCCTGCCCCGCCAGCCCTGAACCCCCTAAAGGAGGAGGAACCACCCAACGCCATCGGAGGCCAGATGACATGACCGAAAAGGCCCACAAATTGTGGGACCAAGCATGGGCAAACAGAACGAGCCTCCCCTGCATCACCCCTGTCAATGGGGCAAAAGGGCCGTCGCCCCTTACAAGAAACCAGGCGCCGAACAGAGCGATCACTGCACCAACCAGACGACGCCGGCACCGAAGGCAATGTCGGCTCAGAAACAGGCACCAATGACCCACCTCGACCAGTGGAACACCGAACCCTGGCACGGCCCTTCCGAGACGACCAAGAACGTCCGCCCCAGAGAACCAACAAGTCCAACATAGGACGACAACTAGACGAAGCCGCTTGCAGAAACTGTGAGACCGCAGCTTCAGCAAACATCAACAGACAACATGGAGACAAAAACCTAAGAGCCAGGGCCCAAGCGGATTCCAAAGAGGGCAAGCACAGCCTGACGGCACGCGAGGCGTGAAGCTAAAAAACAGAGACACCGCCTCCTTCAGGATAACCACAAAAAGCTTCAACAGTGCAGCCAATGCCCTTGCTGCCGAAGTCAGTGCCCCAGACGAAGGCCTAGCACTCAACACCTCCACATCCTCCTCAAGCCTGTCAGAAGACAGCTCGAGAAGGGAAAAGAAACGTAAGACCGAAACCAAATGCCCGTGGGCCTGCAAATCCTCCGCAACCAACGATGCCGAAATAGAAGGAACCTGCACATGAAGCTGCAAAAAGGTCAACATCTCGAGAAAGTACGGGGGAGAACATGCACGCATTAAGGTGCTCAAACTCGCCCCCTGGCAAACATGCAGAACGGTATAAGTTTCATGCCAATTCAGCGTGCGGGTCCGACAGAACCCATGCCACGCACCCAATGAAAAGAATGGGCAGTCTGCCAGCCAGGAAGACTCCAGAACCTCCAAACGCACCCAAAACCAGGAAGAAGAACCGAACTCAAAAGACGGATCCATCACAGAGGCAGAAACCGAATCTTACAGGAGGTATGCAGCAAGAGCCTACCGAACCTCATTCACGGAGATACAAGAAGTAGAAAACCTCCGGAAAGATGGGGCCGAGGTACCCAAAGGGGCCCGGAACCAAACTCGGGAAGGAGCCGAACCCAAATCACACTCATACAGGGAAGGGGGGTAAGAAACCCCCTCCCCCTGCAACAATAATCCCTGCGAGGAACGCAAAAGCACCCAAGCAGGGTCAAAGGGGGTCCAAGGCCAACCCGTTCTCGCAAATTTAATAAGGCAATATTGACTTATTAAATATGTGCATAGGTGACATACTTAACATAATAGATACCCTTAAAAAGATTCATAGAAAACACCGACCTTACCTAACCTTGTTAGTATCTTAAGATAAGCATCTTATTGCTTCGTAATTACAATTATTACCTAACCTATAATAGGTATAGGTTAAGTAATAATTGTAATTACGAAGCAATAAGATGCTTATCTTAAGATACTAACAAGGTTAGGTAAGGTCGGTGTTTTCTATGAATCTTTTTAAGGGTATCTATTATGTTTAGTATATCACCTATGCACGTAGTTAATAAGTCAATATTGACTTTACGAATTTGCGAGAACGGGTTGCCAAGGCCCCCAGGTTGACTCCTCCCCAGCCCCGAGATCCCCCAAGTCAGGACCCGGGGCAGAGCTGTCCTCCAAACCCTCTACCCCCTGAAGAAAAGGCAGGAAAAGGGAAAGGGGCCTTTCCCCTTTCCAGGGAAAAGGCAGACAAGAAGAGGGGGGCCTGTTGGTGGGACCCAAAAGCCTCGGCAGGAGGAACCGGCTCAAATGCCTCCATCTCTGACCGAAATGGGGCTGCCCTCGAAGCCGCCCGTGTCTCATTACCAACTAAACCCTGTGCCAAAGCCGAAACCCTCAGATGTTTGGGAGCCGGACACGAGGGGAAGGTGCAGGATGAACAGGGAAAGGACCAGGGAGCGCGGAAGGAGCCAAAGTCGAAGCGACTAACGCCCCCAGGTCCCGGTTTCTAAAACCAAAGCGGGGATGCCGCGGGGCATCCGGGTGGGAATCCAACCTAGCGCGTTGCAGTAACCTAAACCTAACATGCAACGCAGATGCTGCCTGTACCCTAACAGCAACATCATCAGAATAAAACTGGAGCAGCAGGGTCAAAGGGGGTCCAAGGCCCCTTTGCCTTGGACCTTGAACACGACTCGCAGGACTGCGGGTCAAAGGTGTCATTGACCCAACAGGCAGCATGACGGAGGCAAAACAGGTGACTGTCACCCTGAGACAAGGACACATAGCAACCTTCAAACCCGTACAAGGCAGGCTGGAACTTGGAAGATGCATCCATGGGTCCACCGAGCCCCGACAGTGTTTTCCAGGGCCCGTAGGGTAACAACTATGGGAAGCCCGGGCATGGTGTTGCTAACCGGTTAACACCCAAACTAACAAGGGGAAGATGACAACACTGAAACCCCCCTGTGATGTGTTCAAGCATGGAGGCCTAGCAACTGGCCACCAAAATAGTATCAGGGGAACTAGTCCCACTAGGCAGACCCCCACCAGGCAAACAAAAAGAAAAGAAAAGAAAAACCCCGCAAAAGTACACCGTCCCCAAAAGCAACAGGAACTGGTTGCCACGTAGGTGGCAGGTCGTGCAACACCTTGACGCCCTAACCAGCACAACACCACTCACTACCCAAAGCCAAACAAGGACCCCAAGCCCCAGCTGGCCCCAAGGGCAAGGCAAATGCTGAGCAGCAAGAACCCTTATGGGAGCAGTTCTCGAATGCCCCAGGGAAGAGAACCCTGACACACAGATGCAGTACTCACAGGGCGCTTAGGGAAGGAAGCCCCTAAGCACATGCAGCCCCGGCACTCCTGGCCACCACACACCACAACAAGACAGCAGAGAATGCCACACAGGCAAACACCACCTAGGAATGTGAGGCCAGAGAAGTGTCTGTCCCAGTTGACATTAGCTTACGAACTGGAGTGCTAGGTAGCCGGCGCACAGAGGTCTGGGGGTTCCCCCATCTCAGGGAGGGGAGCGCTGCGCGGACGAGCGGCATGGCAGTAGAGTGTGACGTTTGCTTGTTTGTATGTTTCCTTGGGATTGTTGGGAGTTCTACCTCTCTGTTTTGTTTTTGTTTTAGTTTCTTACCATGTGGGGGTTTGTTTTGTTATGCCTACCTTTCTGGGTGCCTAACCCCGGTCAATGGCAGATAAGGAAAAACCCCAACCACAGGGGGGTTTTCCAGGGGCCATTGCTCCCTGAAACTTCTCTGAAGGGGCCAGGTTCTGGCTCATAGTCCCTGGTAGGTCTGAACTCCATAGCTAATGTCCCGGTCTAATATAAAACACATTAGCCTGATAAGCTCCAGGAAGCCATAGGGGCTCCCCACAGAAAAAACAGAAACAAAGCTCCCAACAAAAATCACTAGGCCGTAGACTATTTTCGATCACTGAATGTACTTGAGATATTTATTTTCCTATATTGCATTGATGTTTGCCAATTTTTGAGGAGGAACATGTTCATACTATGACAATGCACTGCACATGTGCAGAACTGGCTACTGTACTGGTGGGAATTCCAAATTCATGAGTTATCACACTAGCACCTCCCTCCAAAAGGGTCCCTACCTTACAACATGTGCACTGTAAAGCAAACATTTAGACAAAATATCACAGACAAAATAATAAAAGCACATCTTGGTGTCCAAAATTTGAGACAATAAATGTGACGTGCCAGAAAATGTGAGTGTTTGCTGGCTCCTCCGAGCCCACTGTTGTGGTGGAACTGCCACCAGCTGGCAGTCAGCTAGTGGCAGTTCAGCTAATTGCCAAGCTGGTAGTTAACAGAGACATAATTGTTTTTATTTCAGGTTTCATTTGGAAGGATTTCAGATTTAACATTGTTTTTTCTTTTGTATGATAACAAGTTGGTCTTTAGGTAGTGGTTCCAGCTAGATATGCCCTTGTCTCCCATCACTAATCATATTGCAAAGTATTTGGAATGTTATTAGTCATGGTAGGTGAACCATTAGTGTCTTGTTGGTAGGCTCTCTCTGGAATAACTTAGGCTACCGAGTCAATAAAGCAATTGATGGACTTTAGTACAGAAATAAAACTCAATGAGAATACAAGTTTACCTTGTTGTGTGTATTTTTTTTATATGCTGTAATGACCTCCCAAATCCATCCGGTTGTAAAAGTTTGGGCCACAATGGTCTTCTTAATGCACCCAATAAACATTCACCTGAATGCATAATATAGTTATTTAAATGTAAATTGCGTCTCCAAGGTCGATATGAGCTTGATTTTGCCATTGCTCCATATATCACTAGTCTGTTTGGCAGCATTTTCACAATTTTGACCTGCAATGGAAATTTAGTAGAGCATTAGAATAATGTATGTAATATACTAATTAAATTAATCCATTAAAATGAGAAAGGAAAAGACAAATTAAATAAAACAATGATACTGAAATTAAGGAAATTCTTGAAATTAGTATGCCTCAATTGCATTGTAAACAACTCTTGCTAAAAGAATGATTACGATGAGTCACAATAACATGACTGAAGATATGAAAACACCAGAAGATGAAGAGATGAGGACATTTCAGTCCTTCCAGCATCATTATCAATCGACTCGATTATGGTCCAGAACAGCCCGAGAAGTCATCATCTCCTTATCTTCTGGTGTGTGGTTTAGTCTTCAAAAGAATTATTAATTCAGTGATGACTTACATAACCTGCATTAACCCCTGGGCCGGGCCACTGTGCTATGCAACACTCGGGTACGCATATAATATAAAAAATGACAAAAATTCAGCGTTGAATGTAATGAAACGCCATTTTCTGGGCGAGCCGCAGAGGGTCCCCTGAAGCTATCCAAACTGACATGTGCCATATTAGTTTGGTGTCATCAGTCTCTAGTCATATGCCTACCAGAGATTATGAGCCAGGACCTGGTCCCCTCATAAAGATGCAGGGAGCAATGGCCATTATGAGCACTCTACATTTAGAGTATGTCATGTCTCCTGTTGACTGGGAGAGACACCCAGAAACATAGGTGAACCAGTACAAACCCCCAACTGGTAAAAATTACAACCTACATCCAAACAGAGCCAAAGAACACCCCCCCACCCCTGCCAAAAAAAAAAAAAGCAAATCGTTATCCAACTAGTGTGCCCGCTCGTTAGCGGGCGCACTAGTTGTATCTGAGCAGCCCCTCCCCTGAGTGAAGTGCCCCCTTCACTCAGGGAAATGGGGGAGCCCACCACCCTAGTTCGTAGATTGATGAAAAACTGCCGGCCGGAGGGCGGGAGGGATGATGTCAGGGAGCCTTCAGGGCTCGCCCAGAAAATGGCATTTCATTACATTCAACTCTGGTTTTCTGTGGAAAGCCCCGTCGGCTCCCTGAAGCTAACTACCCACAGATAAGTAAAAGGAGGAACTTACCTGGGAGGTGGCAGCGCCGCAAGTCTCAAGAGGAAGATGAGACTCCAGACCGCGACAGATGTCCTAAGGCCACACAAGGCATGAGAGGGCATGGAACATTCACCAGATATCTGGTTGCCGGGACCCTGTTCAATTTCCAAAACCTCCATGCCCGAATGTCAACCTAAGATATAGTCACAAAATAGCAGCGAGAGCAGCATATTTCCTCACATCATGGGCACAAGGGTAGACCGCAGGCTTGCTAGGCTTGATAACCCTGCAGACAACCTGAAAGACATGAGCCCCGGAACAAGTAAAACTGCATCAACCCAGAGCGCGTCCACTGTTACCGAAGCAGTAGTAGGTAGCAGGTATCGACGTAAAGCCACCACCGGACACAAAACAAGATTCACCCTTAGCCGAACCAGCAAACAAGCATCAACAACCCTCCTCCGGAAGGCAGTCATCTCATTCTTCGACAGAAAAGAAGGAGAGGGCTGCAAACGAAAAAAATGACCCCCAGAATCAAAGGAGCAGAACCCCCTGCACCGAAGAAGAGCATGAAACTTCCCAACCAAACCTTCAGAGGCCAAAGCTAACAAAAACAAAGTTTTCAAAAAACAATCCCGAACTGAAGAGGGCCACAACAAACCTATGTGAGGAAAGAAAAGAAAGCACCTGGTCCTAGGACCAAGACGGCTCAAATGGGGCATGAGCAGGCCGGAGGTGAAAAAATGCACGGGAGAGCTTACGGAATAGGGCAGAAGTGACGTCTAGCCCGAACACAAGCTAGAGTGGTTCCACCAATGGCGCACGATAAGAAGCAACAGTATTCAGCATGAGATGCCGGTCCAAAACAAGAGCCAAGAATTGATAAAACTACTTGTACAGACACCGAAAACACCCTCCGAAGGAAAAGGAAACAGCGGAAAGACCGCCAAGACACTTCATACTGTCGCTGAGACGAAGACCGCAGGTCGGACACCATCAGAGAAGTCACACAATCACCATAAAAGTGGCGATACACTGGCGTCAGAAAAATCGAGCAAGCAGTGTCTGAAATCAAGGCTAGGCCAGCCACCATAGGGCCAGGAGAAGCACCCTCCTCTGATAGGATTCGAGCCGAGCTAGAACTCGAAACAACAGCTAAACTGGGGGACAAAGGTTCAGTAACCCCCATCTCGACCAGTCCTGCCGGAAAGCATCTACCATAGAGGCCTTGCAGTTGGGGAACGGCGCCATGTATGGTGAGAGACGCCAAGACCACGCCGATGCGAAGAGGTCCTCCTTCGAGTGCCCGCACATCCGACAAAGCCAAAGAAAAGACGTGGTGTCGACCGTCCACTCCGTGGAAAAGGGAATGAAGTGCGACAGGCCGTCTGCCAGGACGTTGGACACTCCCTGAATATGAACAGTGGGGAGAGCTAAACCCTAAGAACTCAGCAGAAGAGCTACCGAAAGTGACCAGCCCCAAAGAGCCACGGACTGCAGAGACACCCCTTCCCAGTTGAGACAAAGGATCATAGAGGCACAATCCGAATAATATACATACATACATACATATATATATATATATATATATATATATATATATATATATATATATATATATATATATATATATATATATATATATATATATATATATATATACAGTGGAACCTCTATTAACGAGTTTAATCCGTTCTGGCACCGAGCTCGTTACCTGGAAAACTCGTCTTTGGAAACAAATTTCCCCATTTAAAATAAAGGAAATAAATTTAATCCGTTCCACTCCCAAAAACATCCATACTTGTATGACTTTTTTTATGTAAATATAATATTGCACATTTAAATATAAATGTTTTGTTGTAGTGTTTTAATATTTACTTTACCTTATGAAGAGTAGTTGCTGGCTTGAGGGAGACGATGGAGAGGTGGGAAGGAGGAGAAGGGTTATGGTGTGGAAGGAGAATCCACCTCTGAGTCAGGCGGACTCTCTGTTCTTGGGAATTTCACCCAAATTTCATTTCAAATGTCACACAAGGATGCGTTAGACCAGCACCAAATAAAAAACTACGTTGATTACACTCGTTGTGTCAACAATATAATAGTCTTACCACGAAGATACAATACAATGCCGTTTTCTCAAATAGGCAATGTGGTTATTAAAGAAAACAGAAATTTCATGGCAAACATTTATACAATCCCCAAGTCGATCGGATAAGAATTGGATTTTATATAAATATTTGCTCAAATGACGCTTGAGCGTGGTGTTTGGGTGCATTCAAGAGAAAAAAAGTGTGTTACGTTCAAGCGACATATACCTGCGAAAGTGATAACACTTTCATAAAGTGTTATCACAAAGTGATAAATTAATTAAACATTTTCACACACCGGGTTGTCACTGCTTTATCAGGACAGCTTTTCCAAGAATGCGTTCACCTTTTCAAACATTCCAAACACTTCCCTGATCTCAGTGGAAGAGGCAGCATCCTCCCTTACCTCCTCATTCCCTTACTAATGTGTAAATTGTTGATGAGGACCTGCCATACTTCCTTGTGAGATCAATCACACAGACACCACACTCATGCTTTGCTATAATTTCCTTCTTTAAATCCACAGTAATTGTCTTTCTTCCTCTTGACAACACTATCTTTAGCAAGCAGCTTCTTTGGAGACATCATGTGTTACAAATTGTAGTCGCAAAACCACTAAAAACCCAAAGAAAAGCTCAAATAAATCCATAGGGATGCTTGTCGTGTGAGATACAACAACAACACTGGCGTCGGAGGCGTCCGAGAATTTGCGAGAACCCGCGAGACGCTAGGAAGCGCCATGTGGTTTCACTCGTTAATAGAGGCGAGCTCGTCAATAGAGACAAATTTGCTGCGAGTGGCTTGCTCGTTACTGGAAAAACTCGTTAATAGAGCCACTCGTTAATAGAGGTTCCACTGTATATACATACATATATGATTATGTATATATGTATACAGTGGTACCTCAGAATACGAGTGTCTCTGTATACGAGTTTTTCGGAATACGAGCAGGATTTGCTCGGAAAATTTGCCTCGGAAGTCGAGGATTGCCTCGGAGGACGAGGGTGTTGATACGCGTACAGGCCGACTAGCGCGTGGTGGCACGGCCTTCGCGCCTCAGTTTACCAGTACCTTGCGCCCAGTGACTATCCCGCCTGAATTCTCCACAAGGAATTATGGTGTTTTGTCGGATTTTTGGCCATTTGAACATAAAAGTTATTATATATCTCGCCATGGGTCCCAAGAAAGCCAGTGGTAAGGTTCAACCTAAGAAAATAGTGTGGCATTTCCGACGATCGAGCTGCAACACTGAAAAGTGAGTACTCTTTTCACTGTCCTGACATTAATTTTCGATGTACATATTTCATTTTTGTACCAATGTGTTCGCAATAAAATGTTCTAGAAGAACATAAGTATAAAATGTCACACAAGGATGCGTTAGACCGACACCAAATAAAAAACTATGTCGATTACACTTGTTGTGTCAACAATACAATGGTCTTACCTCGATGGTGCAATGCTATGCTGTTCTCCCAAATAGGCTATGCGGCTATTAGAGAAAACAGAAATTTCATGGCAAACATTTTCAAACTATCCCAAAGTCGATCGCATAACAAATAGAGTTTATTGAAGTATTTTTTCTCGTGACTCGTGAGCAAGTCTGCTGTGCGACCTCAACATAAAAAAATGGTAACGCTCTTCAGCGCCGTGATAACGCTAAGTGTTAAGAAAATGTGTGAAGTATGGGAAGAACTGCAAAGTTTTGTTGAAAAAACTCACCCAAATAAAGCAGTAGCAGGCCGTTGCATTGACCTTTTAAATGAAAATATGATGTCTTACTACAGACAATTGTTAAAATGTAGGAAAAAACAAGTGTCTTTAGACAAATTCTTAGTGAGACAAGCAAGTCTTAGTGGT